ATTATTGACATTAATCTTGATTACCTTTCTGAGGTAGTGTTTGTCAGGACCCTCCTCCATAAAGTTACTCTTTTTTTCCTCATCCCATACTGTGGTCTGGAAGATATGCACTATGTAGCCCACACACAGGAAGTGAAGAGTTATGTTCTACCTCCTTGAGGATGGAGTAGCTATATAAATTATTTGGAATTCTGCATGGGAGATTTGTGTCTCCTCCATTATTTATTTTTTCAAATGTTTATTGATGCCAGCACAGATTCACAAATCTTTATTTTATACTTTGGGTTATAATTCAATGCTAAATTATTTATTTAGTTGCTCAAATACCAGCTTTGGCCATTGGGAGTGCTTTCAATTGACACTTATGTCCCTCTGACTTATCCACATCATTTGTGTGTACATATGTGTGTGCATGTATATGTTTGAGCACTTCCTTATTTCCTGGCACTATAAGATGCTCCGGGTTCATCTTCTGTACATCCTGCCCCAGCCCTAGAACCAGCCATTTCTCCAAGGAGTCTTGGTCACTTTTATCGGAGAATGGTATTTAAAAAATCAAGATCTGGATTCATTGCTTCTAGGCTCTGTCAGCTGACAGAGCAAGAAAATATATGTGTGTATACTAACACATGTAAATGCACATACCTTTAGATATTTCTATGTGTAACCATCTGTATCTATATTAAACTAAACACGAAATCATACTGATGTCTCTAACTCACTCATTACCACAGGGACCATACCTGTCTCTTCCCTCCTTATCTGTAACCTCCCACTCCAACGGTGAGAAATGTGGCTCCCACCAGCCACTGTCTATTTACTGAATTATTCAATTCCAGTATATATGTATGTGTAGTGGTTTCAGAATTGTTAACCTGTACTCCATGAAAAACAACTTGGTCAACTAGAATACAGTGATCTGTACAGTTGCTGTGTCTTTAGTCATACACACTCCATTCATTTCCAAAGTTACTGTTTACTCATTTTCAGAGCTACTAAGGTCAGCCCCTTTTCCCCTCACCCCCTTTACTGAGACTGTTTCATACATTTGCAATACCATTGGATCCTTTTGCAACACTCTGCATTCCATCCTGGGATCCCTTGCCCCTGAACACCTAAATGAGATTTAAAATTTGCATATATTAAGGTTCATTCTTTGTACTGCTAAGTTCTGTGGGTTTTGACAAGTGCATAGTGTCATGTATTTACCATTGCAATATACAGTATAGTTCCAGTGCACTAAAAAAATTCCCCATGTTGGGCTTCCCTGGTGGCGCAGTGGTTGAGAGTCTGCCTGCCGATGCAGGGGACACGGGTTTGTGCCCCGGTCTGGGAAGATCCCACATGCCGCGGAGCGACTAGGCCCGTGAGCCATGGCCGCTGAGCCTGCGCGTCCGGAGCCTGTGCTCCCCAACGGGAGAGGCCGCAACGGTGAGAGGCCTGAGAAACAAAAAAAAAAAATTCCCCATGCTTCACCTATTCAGGTCTTCATCTCCCCAGGCCCACTCCTCCTGAAGCCCCAGCAATCACTAATCTACTTACTGTCTCCATGGTTTTGCCTTTTCCAGAATGTCACATAAGTGGAACACATAGTATGGAGCCCTTTTCAGACTGGCTTTTTTCATTTAGCAATATGCATTTAAGAAGTATCCATGTTTCTGCAGATTTGATAGTTCATTCATTTTCATTGCTGAATATTACTCCATTGTATGGATGTACCACAGTTTTGTCAAGACATTTGTTTATTGAAGGGCCTCTTGGTTTCTTCCAGTTTTTGATGATTATAAATAGAACTGCTATAAACATTTACATGCAGCTTTTTGTATGGACATAAGTTTTCAAATTAGTTGGGTAAAAACCTAGGAGCACAATTGCTGAATTATGTGAAAGAATATGTTAAGCGTTGTAAGAAACTGCCAAACTGTCTTCCAAAGTGGCTGTACCATTTTGCATTCCCACCATCAATGAATGAGAGTTCCTGATGCTCTGCATCCTTGCCAGCAATTGGCATGCTCAGTTTTTAGCCATTCTAATAGGCATAAAGTAGTACCTTATCCATGTTTGAATTTGCATTTCCTTAATGAAAAGTGATGTTGAGTATCTTTCATATGTTTATTTGCCATCTTCTTTGGTTAGGTGTCTGTTTAGATCTTTTGCCCATTTTTTAAAATAAGTTTTTTGTTTCCTTATTGTTTAGTTTTAAGAGTTCTTTGGTATGGAGGACAAATTCTTTATCAGATATCTACTTTGCAAATATTTTCTCCCAGTCTGTGGCTTATCTTTTCATTCTCTTAACAGTGCCTTTCACAGAGCAGAAGTTTTTAATTTTAATAAAGCTGACTGAAATTTCTTTTATAGATTGTGCTTTTGATGTTACATCCAAAAACTCTTCACCATGTTTAAGGTCATGTTGTTTTTCTCCTACTTTTTCTTCTGGAAGTTTTATGGTTTTGCATTTTACATTTAAGTCTATGACCCATTTTGAGTTAATTTTTGTAAAAGATATAAAGTCTGGGTCTAGGTACTTTTCTTTTCTTTTTTGCATATGGGTGTCCAATTATCTCAGCACCATTTGTTGAAAAGACTATTCTTTCTCCATTGAATTGTCTTCGTGCTTTTGTCAAAAATCAGTAGGCTGTATTTGTCTCAAAATAATTTTAATCTGTTCACGAAACCAACAGTAGTCAATAATATTTTAATGACACAAATTTAAAAGGCATAAATGAATTTTATGAAATGCCACCATTCATTTGATAATCTATATTTTTAATAATCCATTATGAAACAACCATGGCCTGTATCTTGCCTGCTTCTTCAACCTCATCTCTTTGTGTTCACTAATTCCAGCCTCCTGGCAATCTTTCTGTGATCTCTTTAAATCACATCAAAGCTGCACTTGCCTCAGGGACTAAACACTTTCTTGTGGGAGACTTTCAATCCAGTTTGCCTTTATGGGCCTGAAGGGTCCTTGAAGTTCATGATCTTTCCTTTTCTCTTGGGAAAGGAGATAAAATTAACAAATTGTGCCTGTCAAGAAAGTTATATCAATATCTAAATGTTCCTTTCCACCAGATACATTATTCATATTGCAACAAAGGACAAGAACATGTAACATTCATAAAATTCCTGTGGGAAGTCTCTTCTAGATCTGAAATTATGCTGCCTAATTGTTTACTGTTTCTATTTGGAAAACAGAAAGGAATTTGATCCTGAGTGCTGCCTCAAATGAGGCGAGGAAACATCATGCCTGGCCCATTGTTTCTACTTCAGGTGAACGCTGGTTCAGAAGCACCTTTGACAAAGTCACTCCTTTATCCAAGTGAGCAACTTCAGCCTGAGGACTAGGACAAAGTAGCCATTTGCTGTAACCCACCCGTTGGCAGAGAGCTGAAAGCTATCTAGGTAATATCTGAATATTGTTTTGCGTGAGGAATAGAGGAAGCTTAAAAATGCTTTGACTATTCTCTGTCTCTTGGCATCTGTGAAATTCTATCTCGTGTTTAAGAGAAGCACGGACACATTTAGCCCAGAAAGTGGTCTGATTTTGGCTGATCCTAAAACGTCTCCTCCTGGAGTGCCTTTCCCCAGCCTGGTTCCTTCTCATCATTCAGCTCTTATTTGAAATATCATCTGACAACATTATTTTTAAATACTACCCCTTGACCTAGTCGCTGCATTTTATTTCCTTCCTGGTCTTATTTACTTTCAGAAATTATTGTGTTTATTTATTTTTTGTCTTTCAAACTGTGTCTCCACCCTTCCTTTAGAATTTAAGTTCCATGAGGGCAGGAGCCTTGGTTATTTTTGTTATCACTCAGATCTGGAACACAGTTTCTCAATGAAGAGTTTTAAATTATTGGATAACAGAACAAATGAATGAGTGAATGAATGAGTGACAGTAGATTATGAACAATGCATTTTTTCCTACAGAGTCTAGAATGATTGGGCATTTCAATATATTAATGAGAAGAATGTTTCAAAGAGGCAATGAAGTTAAAATATCTTTCCCAGATGACATTTATAAGGCAATGATAATGATCAGTTTCCTCTCTTCTAGTGAAAAAACGGAAACCATTACCTAACTCAGGAGACATCTGAACATTTCAGTACTATCTCAGAAGCCATACGTCTCAAATGGCAGGACAAAGATCCAGTAAACACGATCCAGAATTCACTTTGTGTTGTGACAAAGTTAACATGCAATTCTGCAGCACATTCAAAACATTCACCAGCTCTTAGGCATCTAACAAAAGAGATAATCTAAGAATGGGGTAAGCAGCAGGAATAGATTCATAGATTCTTGCAGTGTTTGCACTGGTGGGTACAATAGCAAGCCAATGTTCTCAATCCCACATTTTAAGTAGCAGGAAATTGACCCATGAGGGAAATGGCCTATCCAAGTTAATACAGATATTTATGGGTGCCTCTGGGAACTGTTGAGTGCTATGGAATAGGTGGAATGCTAAAAACAATTTATTTACATTGTACCAAATAACCAGTATATTCAGTAGTAACAACTACAACAACAAAAAAATCAACATCATCATGGTAAGTTTGCCTCTACGTAGACCAAACGGTCACTTGTTTTGGTAGAGCTCTGAATCAAGCTGAATAGGAAAATGTTCCAAACACTCATGATTTTCTATCATAGTAAACAAGTCAGAGAGTGCCCCAGCAGTGAGAACTGGACTGTCTCATCACTCCTATCTAATTATAGGAGTGATTGCAATCAAACAATTAAGGATGCATAGATTACTTCTTGAATAAATTTTTATTTCTTGGCCTTAGTAAAAGAAAAAAGGTTTTTAACAAATTCTATTTCCAAGATTACTAGATATATCTTTGTTTTGCTTTTTGGAAGGATACTCTCATAGTGGAGCGATTAATTATTTTTTAGAGACATCTCTTCATTTGTAATAGAATTCAGGGCCTGGTATTCTGAGATTTAGGCAGTTGTGTCCAGGAAAAGTATGCCAATCATAGCATAATTAGTTAGCTGCAAAAAAAAAAAAAATGAGATCTTACGAACTGTTTTAGGAATCTGTCATTCCTATGGTGCAAGTAATCCCAGACATGATGAGGCAGACTTGGTAAATCAGAAGCCCTTCTCTCTCCACTCTGTATTTATTCCATTTTTACAACAGCTTTTGGTTTAATTTAATACATTATTGTAGAAGAAAGGGTCCATTAAACAACTACAGAAAAGTGAGAATTACGTTCCTTTTAGGTTTTTTTTTTAAATTAAGCATTCAACAGTAGAATCCTTTAAAAATGATATTCAAATGATTTTTAATTACTACAAAGGCATTGAGATGTTAATACACTTTATATGAAAGGGAGGGATACTATTTCATTCGTCTTTTCCTGCCACAAATTCCAACTCTAAGAAAATTATTTCTTTTGATCCAGTCTGATAGCATGTAATAAGAGAACAATAAAACATATGGCTCAATTACCACCGCTTCTCATCAAGCATGAATTAATGAATATCAAATTATTATTAATTGTTTTTTCTGGCTCCCTCTCCATAAGACAATGATTACACATTTCTGTATTTTAATAAGCATTAGTGTTTAACACTTTGTGGACCAGTGTCTAAGAGGAACAGATGCTTGAAATCATTATACAGAAGAATAACTCTACATTTATCAACATTTAGAAAATACATGATAATCTTTTAATCTCCCTAGTTTGTCAGTTTTTTACAACTGCCTTAAACTCCCTTAGAATTCCACCCTCTCTCAATGTTCCATATGCTTTCCTTTGAGAAGCAATTGCTATGTGCATATAAAGTAGTTTATAAGTGCAATGTCTCAATTTTAATAATAATAATAGTTCCTCACAAGATTACTGAATTTTCAATTCCTTAAGAAAAAGCTCTTTAAAAATCAAAGTTATAGATTGAGCAGTTAAAAAATTACTTTAAGCAGCATGGCACAGAATATAATAAATTATGATCATATAACTGACATATCAATGTCAGTGAGTAATATTTATAGACACTGTACAAGAAGATTCTGTATAACTGACAGTTCATTTATTTTTATAAGCCATCTGTAAATATAAAGTGCTATGTAATAGGAATAGATATAGCATGCGAAAGAACATGTCTTTGTAGTCCATAACCTTCATTATTTCTCATAGATCATTTATGAATCCAGATTTTGAAATGCATGCAAAGAAAACCTGACAAATTACGTAAACACCATGTCATATGATTTTACCCATTACCCATAAATGCAGGTCTTTCTGTTTTTAAAACACATTCTATAAAACTTGTATCAGTGATAAACTGAAGGATGATACCAAGGTTAAATTGTTCAGATATCCTATCTAGTTCAATAGGCCTAACAAACACAGATTCAGGTATGTTTCTAAAGAGCAAACAAAAACTTGCTTTAGAATCTGATAATTTTGGAGCAGAAAGCGACCTTAGAAATCATTTTGTCCATTGGCCCTCATGTTACAGATAATAGCACAGAAATCTGAAAGGTTTAAGTGATTTTCTGAGGTCCATACAACTTTATACGTTAACATCTTTCTGCCAAACTTTATCTTTCTGCCAAAATTTCTATCAACATTACTTTTGTACATAAGTGAAACATATCTTGCTCCCATGACAGTTTTATCAAGACTTCAATAACATCTGTAAATCCAAATTCTTAGGGAAACAAAGGTGAGAAGATGGTAAATTTGTCTATAATGGAAACCGTGACACACAGCCTAATACTGAGCAGAGATGGACCTGGTGAAGGCTGGCAATGCTCACTGCCATCAGAAGCATGCTTCCTTTGACACTGGGTGCTAGAACCACTTGAATTTTTGATCTCTAAATCTAACCAGATACCAGATGGTTCCCTTTATGTATGTGACCTTAGTGGAGGCAATTAGGTTATTTATGCAATAGCAGAGTTGTTAATTCTATACCAGAGTCAATCTTTGGTGTAAAAGCTTTTCTAGATTATATGTTCTTACAATAAAAATTTTAACTCCTTAGTGAATGCTTTCATCTTGATTTTCATGTGCCAGAATTACTGAATCCACTTTGCTGAAAAATTTAAAGAAAATAAGTTAGATATACAAATTCAGTACAAAAATAAGACTATAACTAAAGTTCTAAAAATAAATAATTACTCATCAAGGGGGTAGTGGTGGGTTAAGCATTTTACTTTCACCTCCTACTGCATTCTTCACTGCGGCATGGCTTCTCGCCATACCATGAACACAAAGTACCAATGCCCTGTACTCATGTTTATGACATGCCTGAGAGTCATGTCTTGACAACTTATATACTATAAAAATGCACACCGGGAAGAAAACACAAAGACTTCTGAGTGTTTTGGTAACCACATCTCCTAAACCGTATCATGGACTCCCGGGACTGAAAGTTTTAGAGCTGCACCATGCACATCAAGGCCCCTTGATGTAACAATGGATCCTGATAAGGCTGCTCGATTAGGAAAAAAAAAAAGAAATATGAGAACTGGCTGGGGAAAGCAGAAAATAGAAGGCAAAGCATGAATATAATTAGCTTTGTTCTTGTCATTGATTCTGCAGCCTGATGGAACATGGCTTTCTGAATATTTTTCAGAGTATTTTCCAGATGTAGCCTCTCAGTACCTCATTAATATCACACATTTGTCTTTAAATTCCATATTTTGGATCCTGTGTAAAAATCGCAAATGCTCCTTTTTCATTCACCACCAGCAGGCAACTTGCCTTTCACACAGTGCCGTTGACCAGCTCCCCAATATCATCATGGTTATTCTACCTACTTACTATTGAAGCAAAAATTAAATGTTGATACTAGCTTTACAATGAAGTTTCATAGGATTTTATATTGCTAGCTTACTGTGCACTGTACACATCTTTTAAATCAACTTTTACAGCTTTCATGCTAAGCTTATTGAAAATATGAGTTAAAAATGCAGACCCTTAATGTTTCTTCTCACAACATTTATGCTAATTAGGTATCCAAATTATAGTAAAGTTGGTCTTAAAGGTAAAAAAAAATACTCAAATGTTATATGCAATATAGAATTGTACACCATTAACTCTAAATTTTCCGTTTAAAAATAACATTAATATAGAATTGTACACCATTAACTCTAAATTTTCTGTTTAAAAATAACATTAAAAGGCATTTAGTATAATAACCAAATTACGTTTAAAAAAAGTATATTCCAGTGCAAATGCAAAGGTCATTCACAGAAATGCACTTCAACTTCACCGATCAGTAGAGCAAAGAAAATCTGATTTTGTTTGGAAAAAATGGAAAATTTCCTAAAATAAATGACTTTTGCTTAGTTGTATCTATGTCTGGTCTGACATAAGAAGAAAATATAAATGTTGACTGATTTTTATACCATAAAGTGAAATGCCACCATGTTATCTGCAGCTGAACTTTTAATATAATTAAGAAAATACTTTTTGGTTTTGAGATCTTTCATCAATATTAAAAGTTCATTAATGTTAGTGATGGTTCCTTACAGAGCTTAACACTTACCTACAACTTGAGAGTAGCAAGATTCACAATGTATTTTCTGTTTATAAATCCAAACATTGTCACCAGCTTGTAGGTTTTCCAAAGGTTGTTTGCATATTTCACACTAAACAGAATGTATAAAGTTTACATTATATATGAAGTTTAGATTCTTGGCGTAACAGGATTAAAAAAAAAAAAAAAAACTTTTGGGGGCTTCACTGGTGGCGCAGTGGTTGAGAGTCTGCCTGCCGATACAGGGCACACGGGTTCGTGCCCCGGTCCGGGAGGATCCCACATGCCGCAGAGCGGCTGGGCCTGTGAGTCATGGCCGCTGAGCTTGCGCGTCCGGAGCCTGTGCTCCGCAAAGGGAGACGCCACAACAGTGAGAGGCCCGCGTACCGCAAAACAAAACAAAAAAAACAAACAAAACTTTTACTTTATTCAGTACCATCCTTCATAGCAACACTCAGATGAAGCCTCAAGAGAACCCAGAGGGAAAATAAGAGTATACTTACTTGTCTGTGATCCACACACCGAACTTTTCAAATAAATCCTCTCATAAACCTCTCTACTATGGAGATGTGCATTTCAGGGCATATATACCACTGAAGTCTCTACGTAACTCACAACAGAGTAGATATACATTTTCAGAAATTGGTTATGCCAAAGACAAGATCACCACTGGATATCGCAAACAAAAACACAAAGTGCATTTATTGTTTGCTTACTAAGGGAGAGCTATGCTGTCCGGGTATAGCGTCATTGAGCAAAACGAACTTCTGATCCTATGCAGGGTTTAGGGGGAAGTTTGTTTCAAGTTGTGTTGGTTAAAGAGGAAGGAAAGGGTTGACATCTGCCTTAGACCTGTGCTCACTGGAGCAAGTTCACTGCCAACTGGCTGACTTTCAAGTTCACTGACGCAAATTGTCATAGATCAGTTTGACATGTTTAAGCCAGTTCAGATGGTTCTCTATTATTATGGCTATAGAATAATCTGTCTTTTCCTAGGAGTGTGGGGACATTTTTATTCTCAGTAGTATTTTATAATTAAATTGAAAATGGAAATAAATCATCCAAAATATAATAAATGGAAATTATTCCTATTTACCAAAAGCAATAATCAGGAGAATTTTCTTCTTTTAAAAAACTTTCTGCATAATAATTTTAAATGAGGAGCTATAGACTAACTTTTGTTTCATCGAGTAAACTTAATAATTAAAAGGAAATTTTACTGTCATAATTAAATAATTATGAAATTTTCAGATTACATTTTATATAGAATTCTATATATGATGTCCTTTTGGATTTTGTTTGCTCAAAATGAGGCATCATATTTCTTCTTGCTTTGTGTCACTTTCTGAAGCTAATTTAAGGAGAAGCAATCAATTGTCAAAGTATTACATCTACTTAACTGAATTAGATAATTTGTATCAGTCATAGAATATCAGCACTAGAAGGGACCCATAGATTTAGGCTGTGGTTCTTAAACTGGCTGCCTGTTAGATCTATCTAAGGAGATTGTAAAAATACCAATGCCCAGCAGTCATCTCTAAGATTCTTGATGTAATTGGGGCTGGTCCCAAGCATTCTATTTTTCTCCTAATCTCCCCAGACAATTATAATATGCATCCAGGGTTGGAAACCACTGGTCTAATCAGCTACTTCATTTTACAGATGAGGAAACTGAGGCTAAGCTAATTTAGATGATGTCCAAAGTCACATGGCCTCAATTAGTGTCAGTTAGAACTCCAGCTCAAGTCTTCAGGTTCCTAGTTAAGTGCTCACCCAGTTACACCAAAATCTATATTGTTCACCTACGGAATGTTTTTGTGAAAAGTAAAAGAAATAGCATATAAAAACACAAACTGTGACGTATTCTACTATGTACGCTTTATTATTTTACTAAGCCACATTTAATTAGAATTAATCATGCTCTCAAAAGCAGACTGAGTTTCAACTATTGTTAAGCCCATTGGTCCTGATTTCATAACGTAAGGAGATGCTAGCTTTCTTCTCAACAATTTGTTTGGCTTTTCAGATTTCATTATATATTTTATGTAATGCATGATTTATGAAAATGCTGCAAAAACTTTTCTAAAGAGAACAAGTGTTTATCTTTTTACAGATTTCAATCTGTAGGGTCAGAGTTATAAATGTGTCAATAATCAACTTTTAATCCTAAAGCCAAGAGAGTAATTATAAACCTTGGAGGTTTAGGCTGTAGAACTCTGAGAAATGTTTAAATAGTGCATTATTAATGTGCATGACAGTGTTTCTGAAAGCTTTAACTTCATCGCATATATTTCATTAAATAATTATTTTTATTCCAATCATTATGCAATTTTATATTGCGTTAAATGCAATAAACATAGCCTTACCTTGAAGCAAGTGGAATGGCAGCAAATTTGTAATTCATTTAAAATCATCTTAGCTTCTGTGCCCAAGGGTTTTCGACAGTAAGTGCACATATCCATTTCAATGACAGACCTATAGAGATGTAAGCAATTAAAAATAAATTTGTCATGATGCAAAAGACAGATGTATTCCCCATAAAGTCGTATGGAAATGATATGTTAATTTTGTTGATACTGTAGTAAATTGTGTAAAAATCAAGGAAAGCTGAGGATTTACTTATCCTAGGATAGCAGGATAAATGATTGATTCTTCTAGTTATTTCAAAATGATATCAAAGAATTAACATGAAGGAAAGTCTCAGATTATTAATTCATTAGCAATCAAAAGTGCATCTGGGCAGGACAAAGATGTTCACAGTTTTCTAACTGAACTAGATCATAAGTACCCCTTGAAGCTAGAAGAGGGTTTTGAATTATTAATGTACTTATATCATAGAAAATTTATGCTGCAGATTAATATAAAAATTTAACTCTCAAAACATTCAATAGGACAAAAATAGAAATCCATTCAAGAATGTGTTGGTGAATTCACAAATGATGGATAACCTAGATTCTAGGGTCTAGAGTCACTATAACGCTCCCTTATGCCACTTCTCTTGGTGTCATTGTAAGACTCAGAATATTGGGGGCCCTTTCATGACAAAAATTCTCCAATATGATATAATCTCACCACAAATTTGATGGGGAAAAAAGAGCTTTGCTATTTACTTTGGAAAAATAATGTTCAATAATAAATAAATGATCAGCAAGTCCAAAAGACCTTGGGTCACGCCAGAGTCTTAAGAAAGACCAATAACTACTTGATTCTTTTCCATTTGGAAGGTCTTAGGACAGTGTCAATTAGCACCTTGCAGAGTTTACTAGTCTCAGGGTGTTAGCAAACAAGCCTGAAATTTCCAAAGTAGGATACATACCGGGGTGGTGAAATAAAAACAGCTAATACTTGGGCTTCCCTGGTGGCACAGTGGTTGAGAGTCCGCCTGCCAATGGAGGGGACACGGGTTCGTGCCCCGGTCCGGGAAGATCCCACATGCCGTGGAGCGGCTGGGCCTGTGAGCCATGGCCGCTAAGCCTGTGCGTCCGGAGCCTGTGCTCCACAATGGGAGAGGCCACAACAGTGAGAGGCCCACGTACCACACACACACACACACACACACACACACAAAAATAGCTAATACTTAATAGTGCTAATATACTTAATATGTGCAGTGCATTTTCCACACACTTTGCTTATATGAACTCGTTTATTCTTCATAACATCTCTGAGAAGCAGGTACTCTTATTTTTATCATTATTTTACAGAAGAGAAAGCTGAGGCACAGAAGGGTAAGTCATGCAGCCAGTGAGTGGCAGAGGCGGGATCTGAATGAAGGCAGAGCGGCCACAGAGCCCTATGCTACCTCTGGGCCTGCTTGTGAGATTGACTGGGCTCGCTGGGTTAGAAAGAACTAGTCATGCCCAGAAACCACAATCGATCCTGTCATCGAGTGCAGGACTAGAAGCAGAGAGGAGGGAAAGTTGAGGGGAGGAGGGGGTAAGAGAGGAAAGGGATTGGAGTAGATAAAGCCTTGTTTCATTTTATACTCTCAGTCATTCTAGTAATCTCTTCTTCCCTTATGTACATAAATAAATATTTCCTTCTTTCAATGATCTCTCTAGGTACTTGCTTACATATTCCGGGCAAATAGTTTCCTATGCATTTTTCACATATATGCATACGTAGGTACCCACACACTTAAATTTCCCATGTTAGACTGTAAGCACTTCCAGAGTAAAAACTGCCACTCTCTAGCATTCTTCCATTCCAGAGACACTGAGACAGGAGCTGGGAATATAAAGAAGAGTGAGAGAGTCTCCTCCAATGAGAAGCCTTCTTTCCACTAGGGTAGCCAGGTGTGTGATTGGATGGTCACCACATATTTATGGATGTGTGAAAAGAGTTAGGAGAGCACAGCCAGTGGAGCAGCTTATCCCTGGGGTGAAGCAGGAAAGGCTTGTCAGCATAAGTGCCATCTGAGTTAAAGCTTGAGGGTGAAGGAGCTCTCAAGGGGAGCCCAGTGAGGTGGGGAGGGGCGTGATGGAGGGGTTCCAAGCAGAGTGAACAGGATGTACCAAGGTGCCACACAATGAGGGTGGCTGCAGTGATTGAACATCAGTCAATATTCAGCAGGATCAGATTCTGAAGGCCCATAAATCATGTACAGAGGAATTTGGTATTTACCTTGTAAAGGGGCACTGGTCACGTTATGGGATTGATGTGCTTAGGTAAGAACTGTGGGGATGCAGCTAATTTCACACAATGATCAACAGAAAAAGTTTGCTGGACTAACCAGTTTTAACGGAGAATTGACTTTTGCTCTGATGACTAAAAGAATTTCAAGGATCACTTGAGGAACAGGAGGGAAATTCTTCACTTTGAGAGCAACACTTTAATGTAGAATGCTTTTCTTCCTTAACAATAAAAATATGAGCCCAGGGAAAGCTCTGGTGTTGGTGTTATCCTTATTAAGATCATACTTAGTCAGGAATTCTCTGGTGTTCCAGTGGCTAGGACTCCATGCTCTTACTGCCAGGGACCTGGGTTTGATCCCTGGTCAGGGAACAAAGCTGTGCCTTGTGACCAAAAAAAAAAACAAAGATCATACTTAGTCAAAGATCTTTTCAGAGCGTTATGAAAAACCTAGCTCTGGTGTTTTGGTTATCTAAGCAATACTTGTGGTGCTCCTATAGTCACATCAAAGAGGTGTGACTTAAAGGCAAGACACTAAGAAGAGCCTTGGTAATAGAAGATCTTAACAAAAGTGACAAAAAGAGGATGTAATTCTGATGCCTGGCCCACCTATGTTTCCCTTAGTAAATGGAACATAGGTTTGTTTATTCAGGAATAATTTATTGAGTATCTGTTAGGTGCCAAGGACTGCGTTACAAGCTGAGGCTGTGCATAAAAATAAGATATGGGGGCTTCCCTGGTGGCGCAGTGGTTGAGAGTCCGCCTGCCAATGCAGGGGACACGGGTTCGTGCTCCGGTCCGGGAAGATCCCACATGCCACGGAGCGGCTGGGCCCGTGAGCCATGGCCGCTGAGCCTGCGCGTCCGGAGCCTGTGCTCCGCAACGGGAGAGGCCACAGCGGTGAGAGGCCCGCGTACCGCAAAAAAAAAAAAAAAAAAAAAGATATGTCGTGACCCTCAGTGAGCCATATTTCCACCCCCTGCAATAAAGAAATACCTTCCATAGAATACCGGACATTTGCATTAAGCTGGTTTCCAGTGGTTGGACTGAAATGCTAATTATTTTTATTTCCTCCGCTGGAAGTCTGCAGGCCACAGTCTCAGGAGTGTCACCTATTTACCCGACTGAGCATAAAATGGTAAAAGAGAGTAATCAAGAGCAAAAGCCTGAGGTCAGTTTACCGGCACTAAATTGATGCTCACCCTAACCTCCTTCCTGGGCCTAGTGGGTCACAGCGGCACATCCACGCAGCTGTTTGTAAGGTGAGCTGGCTTTGGAAAACCGCAAGGAGGGAGGGCTGAGGGCACGGTCTAGGGATGCAATGAAGCCTGGATGCTAATAATGTGGCAGTACTGGGGACTCCTGGGATCACCAACAGCAGAGACACTTGCCTGGGAGGCAGCTGTAAGGCACAGAAAGCTCTACTGGAATAAAGTACATCAAAATCAAAGAACAACAGCCAGGAAGTCAAGGAGCAAATTCCTAGATGCAGAGGTTGCTGTTCTTTGTTCCACTCATACAATCACCAATATAACCGCTGTCAGGAATGTCATCTCCAAGTTCAATGGACTACAAGAATGTGTACATATATATTTCAGTGCTATATACATAATGAAGATATGTAAATATATATTATATATAAATACATATACACATACATAATAAAATGTATATTTATAAAGTATGTACACACATATATATTATCTATAATATATAAAAATACATATGTTTATATGTGTGTGTATATACTTTTATGTACGGAAATACAGACATACTCACCTATCTGAAGTCGAATAAATGGTTTGTATGTATTTTCCAGAGATACTCTCCTGATATCTATCCTTTGGTGATTTACTAGAAACAAACACATATGGACATGTGAGAATTGGGCTATTCCCCTAATATTGAAGTATATACCTCTATGCAGGCAAGGAAGCACACACACACCCACTCACACAGCCTCATTATTATTATTCTTTGGGATGTTACAAGCCAGGACAATGTGCTGACTCTTTTTTTTTTTTTAAATCTGGAGAAGTATTGATACGCAAGAAACCTCCAAGTTGACATAAGTTGACATATTCACCAAGATAAATAAAGAATGGGGCAAGGAGAGTGCAAGAACAAGTGTAAGCAGGAAAAGCAGTTATTGTTTTTCATGAAGTTTATACTTGCACCTCCCTTATTTTTACTAAAAGAAAGCTATCTGTAGCCTCACATAAAGAATATACACAAAGCACGAGCCAGTGCAGGCAAATATAGACAGACACCATTCACGTAGAGAAACACTCCTGAACTTTTAGAGAAAGCTTTGGAAGTTTTTATATTTGCTTGAAAACATCCAGGAATCATTTAGAATGAAAGCAAAAATATTGTAACTTTTAAAAGTCCTCCTTGTTCCCTTTCTGCTCCAGTTTGTAAACGTCACTTTCTCCTGGAGACAAATGAACTTTGCAGTGCACTAACCAGCTGACTGTCCATAAATGCTTCCCCAGTACCTACACTACCTGGGAGCATATTAGGACCAGAAGCAATATGTTCCTATTATTTCATACAGTGAAGGATAACTCCATAGCCCTCACTTGGGATTTTTTAATGAGAAATCCTTCTCTCCCTCCAAACTGCCCATAGGCAGACTGCTGTTAGAAATAGAATCTACTTTACGGAACACATAGCCCACAATGCCAAATAAAAGTTTGCACATATTTATGCCTGATACATATAAAATTATTCCCATTTTATTGGTCAGAAAATTGGGACTTGAATTGAGACAGAAAACTGAAGTTAAGTAGTTTTGCTGAGGCCACATAGTCAGTAAATGACAAACTAAGATTCAATCCCAACTCTGATTCTAGGGCCTCTGGTCTAATACACACTGCACTGTCGGTGTAGATTTTAGGGAGAATTGGATTAAGCAGCAAAATCAAAGTTGAGGTTGCATTTTACAAGGTAACTTACTTTGGGGTTTGAGGAATCCCTTTTGGGGGGAAGGTTGCTCAAATCGAATGCACCTCGAATTTCTGGGAGCCCCGCCCCCATACTCTGCTCTCTGGCCTCTTTGAAATGGGCGATGATTGACACACGCGTGCGTATATCCACATCTGAATGCCCCACCATTACCCTACACCACAATTAGGCCAATTCTTGTTTTTATACTCTGCAAAATCGAATGACTTGTGAATCCCTGACCTTGTTTGACATTCTCCTCAACATCCATCACATCAAGCAGCAGATTTTGTGGGCCAGAGCTTATTTACTAAAAGTTATACCCCTTATTTCAGATTAGAGGTAAACAACAGTCGATAGAACCATTTAATTAAAGTGTGACTCCAAATTAGCATAGCAATACTTGTGTAATTTTATAAAGCTTATTATGGGCGTGTATGTTTATGTGACAACTTTCAAATAACTATCCTATTATGTATACACGTGTTATATTAAAATACTTCTTAGTCCATTCAATGAAATTGTATGATTATTTGACAACTACTTAATAGTGGAAAGATTATAAAGAATTATATATTTATTTATATAAAGAACTTGATATACTCTTAAACGTTCTGCTATTTGAAAAATGCAAGCATACCCTAAAATAATGGCATTCCTTCTTAAACACAGATTATTTCAAAATTATAAAATATATATAGCAAAATACTTCAAATAAATTTCCAGTACCTATTCTCCGCATACATCCTTGTGTACACAACAGTATCCTTTGGTCCTGCATGCCTGGTTTCAGCATTGGAGCTGCAATACAAACCATTTTACTTCATGTTTAAAGTTTGTTTACAGGATAATCAAATTAACAAGGCAATTATCCAATCCAATGAAAACAATAATGCTCATATAGTCCTTCTAAACTATTACCTTTAAAATACGAATGTTAAAGTGGTATCAATCCATTTCTGCAAAATTTATTTATGTCTCCCATTTTGTCTTAACTTCCAGAAGTACCTTGGCCTACTTCCAGAATACTATTATGAAAATTGGTCACTCAATAAGTCTGTTGTAGAGCACGATGATTATTTTGAATATTCCTGTAACATGTTTTAGTGTCTATTTCTCTGATGTCCCATTCATATTTCCAAACCATTGCTTTCCCCACAAATCTCAAGCAAAAAGTGGACCTTAATTAACGATCATGATAACATCTGATTTAATGAAACCTTTAAATCTACTTAAAGAATGTCAATGCCAATGTCTCAATCATGCTTTTTTAAAAAAATATAGACTTTTTAAGGAAAAATCACAGTTTACACTCATTATTCATAATTGACAACTTACCAGTGACCAAGTTGTTTACTCAACACCTTTGTATAAGCCTGCTTAGCCACTGGTAAAATTTAAAATTTCTGCATTTCAAGGAAGGATCAGGTTGTATGTTTTCTTTAAAACACAGAAGGAGAAAAAAAAAAAAAACAGAAGGAGAATAGTCCTGTCAGTTGTTTTATAATTGACCACAGTACCTGAGCATCTTCTGTGCTTCATAAGAGTAGGCAGTGGTTCTAGAAGATGGGCTGATTAAAGCCTCAGTAGACCCACTAACTTGGCCATCTTGCCTAAGAAAGCAAATGCAAATATTTGGCACTTAAAATCAAGGCCACATAGAAGGTTTTTGCTTTATTAAAATTCTGTTCAATGAACTTTTAAAAATATACAGTGAACCTCTTTCTTGTTTGCCTGTTTTCTGCACAGATACACAAATAGAATACATGTACGACTTTACTCCTCCACAGAGACCACTATCTTACCTTAAGGAATCATCTACAGGCATGTGTCACATTATCTAACACTAAGACAGAATACTTTTTTACCAAGGGCAGGAACCATCTGAAATTGGTTCCAGTAATATTTTCACAGCAGCAGTGCCATCTTAGAAAGTTTTTCATGTACAACATATCTGACAGTTTATCAGTTTAATGAAAATTATCCAGGGGTTCCTCTGAGAAATTCCAGTTTCCATTTTGTTTTTAATGGAAAACAGTACTTTGAAGATTGCAAAAGAACTTTGACCTAGATTTCTGCTAATCTAAAAATGTCACTATGCTTAACAAAGTGCAGGCATATTTGCTTTTTCCTATGAGACAGAGGAAAATTTTAATGCAGGAGTAGTGAAAGCTTTAGCTCTTTTTCCTCCCCTGTGTTAGTAAACTCTGATATAGGAGAGACATAAAGACCAAGAGGAGGATTTAGATCTTGATCATAATTTATCATTCTTGACTGGTCTGTTCCTTCCATTTCCAGGTAGCTCTTAAAGAAGAAGAAAACATCTGTTCACATAGTATCAACTCTGGCATACGGAAAACCATCTTCTAGTTTTAAGACAGATATTTCACAAAACAGATGTTTTACAGCTGAGTTAAAATGACACTAAGTAATGAGAAAGTAGAATTAATATTATTAGAAGATTTTCTAATACAATCATTAGAATATGTCATTCCAGAAAAATGAAACTAGCTGTGAATTGTTTGGAAATATTCAAATCATATAGTATATAATACAAAACCCAATTTTAGCAAATAGTTTCAAAGGACAAAGGTTGTCAATGAGTGTGAAATGTGTCTGTATTGTCCTCAGAAAGATAAAATCAAATATCACCAATTTGCAAAATCTGCAGATAGGAAAGTGAAATAATTTGTAAACAGTTCTGATAAGGATTGAACTGTGTCCTGCCAAAATTCTTATGTTGAATTTGGTTTCATTGGTTTGGGGTATGGCTTGGGCATTTGCAGTCTTTTAAACCTCTCCAGTAAGTCTCACATACAAGTCAAGATTGAGAACCTTAGAGGCAGCCTGACATCTTATCCAAAAGAGCACTGGTTCTCAAAGTGTGGGCCCTGGATTAGCAGGTGAGTCTGATGTAAATAAAATGTGGGAACCAGTGCAATAGAGAACTCTCCACCAAACTATTCCTTAGATGCCTTGAATAATATTCCTAAAGAAGAACTTAAGACTGACAATGTTTTTTGCTTGATGGCTTTATTGTTAAGACATTACCCTTCATTGAAACAAATTGCTGAATTGTAACTTGCAATCAACGGTCACAATTTTGTTTCTTAATTAAATAACTCCATAAACTATAAAACCAAATATTGTGTTGGAACTTACAAAATTCCAAATGGAATTACACTTGAGAAAATGTTTTCTGCAGTGGAAGTTCACCTTGAAAATTTAACTATCTAGAACCTTCATACACTGCTAGTGAGAACATCAAATGGTACGGCTGATTTAAAAAACAGTCTGGAAGTCCCTCAAATGGAGTTACTGTAGGATTCAACAATTTCACTCCCTAGGTATTTACCCAAGAGAAATAAACACACTCTACACAAAAACTTATATATGAATGTTTATAGTGCCATTGTTCATAAGAGTGAATTACAAGCCAACAGTGGAGACAATCCAAATGCCCATCAATTGATAAATAGATAAACAAAATGTAGTACATTCACACAGTAGAATATCATTTGGCAATAAAAAGAAATGGAATACTGAGACATGCTACAACATGGGTGAACCTTGAAAACATTATTCTAAGTGAAAAAAGCCAGTCACAAAGGACCACATATTTTATGATTCCATTTATATGAAATGTCCGGAATAGGAAATTTAAAGAGCCAGAAAGTAGTTTAGTAGTCCTCCAGAGCTAAGGGGTTGGGGGAAAATGATGTGTGACTGCTACTGGGCATTGGGTTTCTTTTTGAGGTGATGAAAATGTTGTAAAAGTGATTGTAATGATGGTTGTACAACTCTGTGAATATACTAATCAGAAAGCATATATCTATGTGGACATCCAATTACTATACAAAGTGAATACATTCATAAAGTAAATAAAGTAAATCAAGTGTCAGTTTAACAGATTGGGCTATGACTCTTATTTAGATTTCCATTGTCCTATTTGACTTAACATTGGCAACTTGACTTTAAACAGCATAAAATAATTTCAACTGATAAATACCCATGTCACTGCAAACTTTATAAATCTCTTTTGCATGAAGACTAAAAGCTTAGTAAGAGTTTACCATTTTGAATTGTTGTATGTGATAGGGTTTACTTCTATAAAACTATCAAGGTTTTGAGCTCTTGTAAAAATTACAGGTTTTAAATGTATAAAAAGAAGTCTTATTGGTACCAAAGGGGATAGTGGAGTGGGGGGGCAGGAGATAAATTAGGACTTTGGGATTAACACATACACACTACTATATATAAAATAGATAATCAACAAGGACCTACTATATAGTACAGGGAAGTCTACTCAATATCCTGTAATATCTATAATGGAAAAGAATCTGAAAAAGAGTATATTATATATATATATATATATATATATACATATAACTGAGTCACTTTTCTGTACACTTGAAACTAACACAGCATTGTACAATAACTATACTTCAATAAAAATAAATAAAATTTAAAAATAGCAGAATTCTCCTGTGGAAAAATAAAGAGAGGACTTGAGGCCAGGATACCTGTCTAATTTACTAACTTCCTGCACCTGATCAAGTCTCTTACTCTCTGACCCTCAATTTTCTTTCTGTTAAATTTTTACCCATTTTGAGAGTCAAGTAAACTTTCTTTTCTGTAGCCAAAATTATATGGGTGCAAAATTGGGCCCAGAGATTTCTTTTTTCCACTTTTTTTTTCACGTGAGAACTTTTATTACAGTTGTTCTTTCAGGGCTGGGGCAGTATCTACATTTTCCATTTAGTTTGGAGACAGATCCTGTACAGGATTCGGATAGAACTGAAGAAGAATGAATAACATCTGAACACAGAACTCAGGGATGAGCAAATGATTTTGTAGTGGTAGTTAAGGCCTCCAGACATAGTAACTGACTGTGATGGTCACCATCCCGCTGGAGAGACAGGGTGCATTTGTGAATGTACGTGTGATTGTTGGGTTATGTTAGGCAAGAGGCACAGATGAAATTGCAGGAAAGTAAAGGAGAGTGTGTGCACATTACAGCCAGCCACGGTGTTTTCCATCCCACAGCCTCTTCTACACAGATGGCCACAACCACACCGCCTTGCTGAAGGAGGCCAGACCTTGGAAAGCTAGAGGAAGGTGAAGTTACGAGGAAGGAGAGGCAGCTAAAGTTCTTGGTTATCAAACAGCTACAGAGCAGAGAATAAGGAAGCCAATAGGTAGAGGGAAGAGCAGGAGAAAAATAGGCAGAAGCCAACAAAGAACTGACAATGACCAAGAACTAAGGTTAATGTCTGGGGATTCCTGATGGAATGTCCTCTGGTCAAGAATGAACAACCTTCCAGTGCAGGCCTCCGTGAAGCCTGGCCATGCTACCATTCCTGTCCTTGAATTTCCATTTCTTCATTAATCTTTCCAATAAAACCTTGTTTCATGAGAAAGCCTAACTCAAACTGAAACACCTCTCAAGTCATATTCAGTGAAAAGTTCCTTAATTATACCTCCTCATTTACTTGTCATTTTTTAATCTGGATCATTTCCAAATAATATTTGAATGAGCTTGGTTAATTGTAAGCCCAATACTGTTCCCAAAATAGTGGATCCTACTGAAAATGTATCCTCCCTCGTTCTATCAGAGGCTTGCTTGGGATCACAAAAAGAGAAGGCAGAGGATGATTTGGGGAATTAAGGGAACAGAAAGAAACTACCTACCTCTTATATGCAAGAGCCTTTAAGAGATATGAAAAACAGACCAAACAGTGTGCCAGCTCTTTTCCTACTTTTCTACTCTCTTCACTTCATATCAACAATATCATTTCTTTACATAAACATTTTTGTTTTTTTTTTTTCTTTTAAACAGAAAAGGCAGCTGTATCTTAGGAAGGTTAAAAATAGAAACTTATTGCTTCTAGGGTCCTCCCATGTGTTGGGAGAAGAATTGCTAAACATGGAAGACTTTTAAAATTCTTTCCTAATTTAAACAATCTGTAACAACAATGAAGTATAGCTTCTATCCTAACCTTCGTTGTAAAAGAAACAAAGTACAACAGTTTTAAAGCTGGTATTCTCTGTGATGTAAAGAAATTCCAAAATTAGGTCCTGTTTTGCGGCTGTGATGAATTTGTGCATTCTTTTAGCACTACGTATCCAAGGAAGAGATTCCCAGAGTGCTTTCTGCACCGCTGAAAACCTACCAAGCAACAGTAAGTAAAAATAAATCTTCACAGCCCATGTGCAGAGCACTGAATTTCCATGATGCCTTTTACAGTAAGCCATTGAACAGCAGGCCCTTAGTCAGAAATTCCAACAGAATTCAAATTTTGCTAACTTTTTTCCAAATCAGTTATTAAGCACCCTGTACATTGTTTTTCATATTCATATGGTGTTTACATTTAAATATCACAGTACAGTTCAACTTCTCAGAAAATCTTTCAAGGTTATATAATTTATGAAGGCTCATATGGAATTCATAAGAAAAACGTAAATTATAATAAGCCTTACCTTTCATTTTTACTCTTAGACATATTGGAATTTACTTCAATTAAATTTTCTAGGTCCTGGTCTCTATAGGAAAAAAAAATTTTATATATATATATATATATATATATGATATAATTACATACAATTTTAGGAAATAAACATTAGAATAAAAAATTTTTAGATCAGTACAAAAATTTAAACATAGTCATTTGTGGTCTTTAAGAATATGGACATTGAAAATCTGACCGAACTATTTGTCCTATGCAACCCAAGTATGAGCATGGATTACGTTATGAGAGAGAAATAACTAATTTTTTGGAAGGTTTGAGAAATCTGGTCTGAAAAGAAACAACTGATTGATATTCACATTCGGCTAACTTTGAATGAATACTTACTTTGCATCACAAAGTACTAACTTGTGTATTTCCACGTGGGTTATCTCATTCAGATCTCACAAAATCTTGCAGGACAGCATATGGGGCTCAGAACGGCTAAGTGAATTTTCCAAGGTCAATTGACTAATTTGTAAAAGAGTCAAGGCTTGAGCCACCTGCCCATCTGAAATCAACTCTTAAATATTTAATTAGAGCCTTCATTCCAGCTTTTTGCATGACAGAAATATGAGAAGTCAACCCCAAATTTGAATAAACAATTCATACTGTGGAGGATAAATGGGACAATTACATTCTTAAATCATGGGCTACAATAATGATTTGACACACCTTCATGAGGTACAATGTTCTCTGGTATGTTATATACATATATTAATTATTTATATATTTGCTATTACGCTGGTAGTTCTTAATTTTTTTCCATGAGTTTGGAAAAGCCTTGTCACCAATGCTATTGGTTAGCAGGATGGTTTAGGAGTCAGAGCAAGGCCATTTCTTCTCCTACTTTCTTGGGCAAGTTAGTCAACCTTTCTAAGCTTCCTTTTGTAAACTAGGATAATAATATCTAATTTCATAAGGTTGCAGTGAGAATAAATGAGTTAATGTAAATAAAATTTATAGGCACAATGACTACAGTTGTGACTGAACTGAGTAAGAATAAATAAGTGATAATTAACAGAAGTGTAGTGACACAGCACTAAGCACTATGGATTCCAGAATTCTGAGGGACTATAGTTTCATTTTTATTTCTGCCCTAACTTTTCACATCTTTAGAGTTAACTCCTGTTTTCATAAATCTCCCTTTTCCAGTCCTGAATAGCAGATTTCAAGTAAGGTTCTTTTACATAGAATCAGTGTAGGGACTCTGACTCACAAAATTAATATTGATAAGGATGAATAATAACATAAAAGTCCTCATATTTATGTGGGATGAGATTTAATACTCCTTTTATATAACATCCAAGCCATCAATAAGTGATAAATATGCTAATTAAGCAGCATTCCATAGCTACACTTAAACCTCACATTTAAAATACTAGCTGCGGGCCTGGGAGATCAGGGGGCAGGCAGGAGGGGCCCTCCAGGAGGAGCGGGAGAGGAGTGGAGGTTCATTGCCACACCCACTCAGTCCTGGGGAGGCTGCTGAGCTCTAGGCCATCCCCTGCCCTCCAAAGCCCCCTCCAGGCTGCGTGGGTCTTTGGGGGCATAGGACGGAGGCTGGGGAGATCAAGAGAGGCAGGAGGGAGGGGCCCTCCGAGGCTGGAGGAGGAGGAGAGGAGAGGAGGGCATTTGCCCCTCCTACTCAAGCCCAGGAAGCCTCCTGGGCTCCCAGGTGAGGCCCCCTGCCATCTGAGACCAGGGGTGGGGGGCACGCCTGGGCCCCTTCTGTTCCTTGAGCCTAAGCCTCACCCACCACAGCCCCCAGGGCCTTTTCCAGCCCTGTGGGTCCTGAGCATTGGCCCTGCCCACCATCCAAACCTTGCCCTTGCTTAGGCCCTGCCCTCCATAGCCAAGGCCTTTTTTTTTTTTTCTTTTCCCTCCTCCTCTTTTTTACTATTGTGGTACTGATGTACCTTCTGGTTGTTGATTCAACTATCTTTTTATTTTATATTCTCCTAACATATCTGTTAGTTTCCTAGTCTAATGTTATTTTTTACTCTGTTTTTTTCTTTATTTTTTGCTGCCCCAGGTGGCTTGTTGGGTCTTGGTTCACAAGCCCGGGGCCAAAGCTCCTGCAGTGGGAGCTCTGAGTCCAAACCACTGGACTAACAGAGAAAGACCCTGGGGAATATTCATTGGAGTGAGGTCTCACGGAGTTCCGCATCTCAGCACCAAGACCCAGCTCTACCCAATAGCCTACAAACTCCAGTGTTGGAAGCCTCAGGCTAAACAACCAGTAAGACAGGAACACAATCCTACTCAAAAAAAAAAAAAAAAAAAAAGAAAAAAGAGACAGTAAAAAAATATGCCACAGATGAAAGAACAAGGTATAAACCTACAAGACCAAATAAATGAAGAGGAAATAGGCAATCTACCTGAAAAAGAATTCAGAGTAATGATATTAAAGATGATCCAGAATCTCAGAAATAGAATGGAGGCATGGACTGAGAAAATATGAGAAATGTTTAACAAAGACCTAGAGAACTAAAGAACAAACAAACAGAGATGAACAACACAATAACTGCAATGAAAAATACACTAGAAGGAATCAATAACAGAATAACTGAGGCAGAAGAATGAATAAGTGAGCTGGAAGACAAAATGGTGGAAATAACTGCTGAGAAGCAGAATACAGAAAAAAGAATGAAAAGAATTGAAGACAATCTCAGAGACCTCTGGGACAACACTAAATGCACCAACATTCAAATTATAGGGGTCCCAGAAGAAGAAGAGAAAAAGAAAGGGTCTGAGAAAATATTTGAAGAGATTAGAATTGAAAACTTCCCTAGCATGGGAAAGGAAATAGTCACCCAAGTCAGGAAGCATAGAGAGTCCCAGACAGGATAAACCCTAGGAAAAACACACCAAGACACATATTAATAAAACTAACAAAAATTAAATTCAAAGAAAAATATTAAAAGCAGCAAGGGAAAAGCAACAAATAACATACAAAGGAATCCCCATAAAGTTATCAGCTGATTTTTCAGCAGAAACTCTGCAGGCCAGAAGGGAGTGGCAGGATATACTTAAAGTGATGAAAGAGCAAAACCTACAACCAAGATTACTCTACCCAGCAAGGATCACATTCAGATTCGATGGAGAAATCAAAAGCTTTTCAGACAAGCAAAGGCTAAGAGAATTCAGCACCACCAGACAAGCTTTACAACAAATGCTAAAGGAACTTCTCTAGGTGGGAAACACAGCAGAAGAAAAAGACCCACAAAAACAAACTCAAAACAATTAAGAAAATGGTAATAGGAACATACATATTGATAATAACCTTGAATGTAAATGGATTAAATGCCCCAACCAAAGGAGAGAGACTGGCTGAATGGATACAAAAACAAGACCCATATATATGCTGTCTATAATAGACCCACTTCAGACCTAGGGACACATACAGACTGAAAGTGAGGGGATGGAAAAAGATATTCCATGCAAATGGAAATCAAAAGAAAACTGGAGTAGCAATACTCGTATCAGATAAAATAGACTTTAAGATAAAGGCTGTTACAAGAGATAAGGAGGGACACTACATAATGATCAAAGGATCAATCCAAGAAGAAGATATAACAATTATAAATGTTTATGAACACAAAATAGGAGCACCTCAATACACAAGGCAAATTCTAACAACCATGAAAGGAGGAATCAACAGTAACACAAAAATAGTAGGGGACTTTAACACTCCACTTACGCCAATGGACAGATCATCCAAACAGAAAATAAATAAGGAAACACAAGCTTTAAATGACACAATAGACCAGATAGACCTAATTGATATTTATAGAACATTCCACCCAAAAGTGGCAGATTACACTTTCTCTCAGTTGCTGATGGAATATTCTCCAGGATAGATCACATCTTGGGTCACAAATCAAGCCTTAGAAAACTTAAGAAAACTGAAATCGTATCAAGCATCTTTTCTGACCACAATGCTTTGAGACTGGAAATCAATTACAGGAAAAAAACTGTAAATAACACAAATACATGGAGGCTAAACAGTGTGTTACTAAATAACCAAGAGATCACTGAAGAAATCAAAGAAGAAGTAAAATAATACATAGAAACAAATGACAACAAAAACACAATGACCCAAAACCTATGGGACACAGCAAAAGCAGTTCTAAGAGGGAAGTTTATAACAATACAATCTCACCTCAAGAAACAAGAAAAACCTCATAAACAATGTAAGCCTACACTTAAAAGAGAAAGAAGAAGAAAGAAAACCCAAAGTCAGTACAAGGAAAGAAATCATAAAGATCAGAGCAGAAATAAATGAAATAGAAACGAAGAAAACAATAGCAAAGATCAAAAAAACTAAAAGCTGGTTCTTTGAGAAGATAAACAAAATTGATAAACCCTTAGCCAGACTCAACAAGAAAAATAGGGAGAAGACTCAGATCAACAGAATTAGAAATGAAATAGAAGTATCAACTGACACTGCAGAAATACAAAGGATCATGAGAGATTACTACAAACAACTATATGCCAATAAAATGGACAACCTGGAAGAAATGGACAAATTCTTGGAAAGGTACAATTTTCCAGGACTGAACCAGGAAGAATTAGAAAATATAAACAGACCTATCACAAGTAATGAAATTGAAACCATAATTAAAAATCTTACAACAAACAAAAGTTCAGGACCAGATGGCTTCACAGGTGAATTCTATCAAACATTTAGAGAAGAGCTAACACCCATCCTTCTCAAACTCTTCCAAAAAATTGCAGAGGGAGAAACACTCCCAAATTCATTCTACAAAGCCACAATCACCCTGATACCAAAACCAGAAAAAGATATCACAAAAAAGGAAAATTATACACCAATATCACTGATGAACATAGATGCAAAAATCCTGAACAAAATACTAGCAAACAGAATCCAATAGCACATTAAAAGGATCATACACCATGATCAAGTGGGATTAATCCCAGGGATGCAAGGATTCTTCAGTATATGCAAATCCGTCAATGTGATACACCACATTTACAAATTAAGGAATAAAAACCAAATGATCATCTCAATAG